AAACCTTTTTTCAGTTTCAAACCTTTTTTCAGTTTCTAAAAACCAAGTTCATGGCTCCAGTTTAGCTCCACAGTTATAGTTTTTATGTGGCAGCCATCTTGAATTGGATTCATGTGCTATCTGTTGATAAGAAAAAAATCACATATTGAGCTCTCTGGTGTTTGATGTTAGCCAGCTGTTGTTGCTGTGAGATTAGTTTGTAGACGGCTCTAAAAGTTAATAGAAACTTGTTCTGAAGAGAGTTAGCTGTGTGTGTCCTGCAGGTGATGGAGACGGTTTCCTCAGCATGGCAGAGTGTCAGTACATCATCAAACATGAGCTGGACACGCTGCGAGCTAAAGACGAAACTCATGTTCCAGGATATACCCAGGCAAAGCTCTATCCTGGGAAATCTATCAGTGAGTGTCTCAAAATCAGCTGAAATGTTTACCTCACACTTGCTATTTTCCTGTTTTTTAGTTTATTCAATTCAGCCGTTTTTGCAAACCTGATTCCTTTTCACAGGTCTATCTAAAATTTTAGCTTAATCTGGAATCAGGTTCTTTTGGTTTTCTCTAAATTTAAACTCTTAAATTATTGTGTGAATGCTTCACGAGCATTCACACTACTGAGATCATTTTTTTATTCCGAATATGTTTTGGCATAAATCTCGTTCGCAGTTTTAGCATTTCATGTATCAAAAATATTGAGCTCCTTCAGAACNTCCCACTGTGGTTAACACCGTCCTCTCTCCCACTGTGGTTAACACCGTCCTCTCTCTCTCACTGTGGTTAACACCGTCCTCTCTCTCACTGTGGTTAACACCGTCCTCTCTCTCACTGTGGTTAACACCGTCCTCTCTCCCACTGTGGTTAACACCGTCCTCTCTCTCTCACTGTGGTTAACACCGTCCTCTGTCTCACTGTGGTTAACACTGTCCTCTCTCTCAGTGTGGTTAATATCGTCTCACTGTGGTTAACACTGTCCTCTCATTGTGGTTAACACTGTCCTCTCTCTCACTGTGGATAACACCGTCCTCTCTCTCACTGTGTTTAACACTGTCCTCTCTCTCACTGTTGTTAACACCGTCCTCTCTCTCTCACTGTGGTTAACACCGTCCTCTTTCTCACTGTGGTTAACACCGTCCTCTCTCTCACTGTGGTTTACACTGTCCTCTCACTGTGGTTAACACTGTCCTCTCTCTCACTGTGGTTAACACCGTCCTCTCTCTCACTGTGGTTAACACTGTCCTCTCACTGTGGTTAACACTGTCCTCTCTCTCACTGTGGTTAACACCGTCCTCTCTCCCACTGTGGTTAACACTGTCCTCTCTCTCACTGTGTTTAACACCGTCCTCTCTCTCTCACTGTGGTTAACACCATCCTCTCTCTCACTGTGGTTAACACCGTCCTCTCTCTCACTGTGTTTAACACTGTCCTCTCTCTCACTGTTGTTAACACCGTCCTCTCTCTCTCACTGTGGTTAACACTGTCCTCTCTCTCACTGTGGTTAACACTGTCCTCTCACTGTGGTTAACACTGTCCTCTCTCTCACTGTGGTTAACACCGTCCTCTCTCCCACTGTGGTTAAC